AACTTTTGTATTCTTCTTCAATTTCCTGGTTATCCCAGGCTCTTCCTATAGCAGCCATATTCCTAAAAGTATCCTTTATCACACCTCTATAGCTTCGTGTGGGATGGATTCAGCAAAATCCACTCCTCTGCGGTGAAGTTCACAGCCACATCCTCAAAGGTCCCTGCCTCCATTGTGTGGCTTCAGGTTCTCCCCAGTCCTTCCCACGGAGCATGGAGCCAGGAGAAGTCACAGAAGTTGGCCTAGCAAGCTGGGTGGGCTCTCAGCAATGTCTCCTCTTGGAATTTTAGAACATATTCTGCTTGCCACTACCCACAATCTTTGTTGTCCTAGCCCAGCCTCAGTGTTAGGCAGTGTACCTCTGCGCCTGAGCCGCCATTGGAAGTCTTTCTTAGTATTCCCAGTCTCTTCCTCATGTATTAGCAGTTAGTCTTCAGCAGGATTTTCTGCTCCTTCCCCAGTAGCGGTAGTAACAGCAGTATCAAATTATTTCTACTGTCCTCCAAATGAAGATATTTTGCTTCTACCCCCAACCTTCAAGAAATAAAGGGTCTTTGCCTTTGTCATGGGATTGAATGGGTTTACTATGCCTCTCTCAGGCAGAGGGAGTTGGCTTCTGCTTCTCCCCCAAAAGCAGCATGTGTTCTGGAATACTATTTGTTGACCCTCCATCAATGACTTAAGGCTTTTGCTTGTAGCAGAGTGGCCCAGGAAACACGTGGGGTTTTGTGCCTGTCCACCTCAGCAGCAGCTGTTCTGTATGTTTGTGCCTTTAGAGGGTTCTTTTCAGTCTCCTGTTGTGCCCCTACTGTCTCTTATGAACACCTTGAAAGCAGCTCCTGATTCACAGCTTCCAGAAGGCACTGCTGCTCTGGACCCCGCGGCCTCATTGAAAGTGCCCTGGCAGTAGGGACAGCAGCACTCTGAGGGGTGCAGAGCCTGAAGGCCACGCCCTGGACTCAGACGAGCCAGCCACTGAACGAGACCCAAAGGCCAGGGTGGTTTTTTCATTCTGAATTTATATAGTCCTTTTGTGAAATAGTATGAAATAAACCAGTTTCTGAAACAGCAGAGGATATATTAAAACTGGGAGAGAAATGGGGTATGTTAACAAGGGCAAATTATATACTCCTAGTAGCTCTGATTCATTAGATATGGATAACTGTACCTTAAGCATGAATTAGAAGCTGGGCTTGATGGCTCATGCCCATAATCCCAGAGGCTGAGACAGGAGGATCCTCAAATTTGAGGCCAATTTGGGCAACTTAGTGAGACTCTTGTCTCAAAAACTTGAAACTGTACCCGTTGGTAAAGTGCTAGTGCATCATGTGCAAGGCCCTGGGTTCAAAGCCCAGTACCATTAAAAATAACAAAAAAAGGGATTTGGAAGTGAACAAAGTTTATACCACATGTAATATTTCTTTGCTTGATGAAAAAATATTTAGATTTTGTTATAAATATATACAACTGGTTTGAATGAGCTGAAAATAACTGAACATAACCCCAACAGATCATTTAGCCAAAAATATTAATTGTATGTCCTTTATGAATTGGCAAGTAAGTGTGTGAGTTGGCAGCTTTGTGATAACCCTAAGAACCTCAGGAATGTGGGGAGTTTCCAAAGGTGTCTGAAGAAGAACATTCATTTACTTGAGTAATAGTCCAAGTTAACCCTTAACTGATTCATGCAGGTATAATAAGTGCCCAAGGTTCAGTGAAAATTCGGACTGCCAAATCCTAGTAGCAAAGATGGTCACTAAATGATGTAGAAGATCTTCCAGAAGGTGGTGAAGGGAGGGCACGGGTATGGGGAAAAAATAAGAACCAAGACACATCATGTAAAGGTACAGGATCCCAATGATAAATGTTAACTGTATTGTTTGCTTTAAATGTATCAATAAACTTAACAGGGGGATAAAAAAGATCTACCAACACCAAAAAAAAAAAAAAAAAAAAAGAGAGAGAGAGAGAAATGAAAATAAAATAATTGGTTTGACATGCCGTCTCTTAAGTCAACTTGTAGTAATGGCAGTCCCTAGTCTAACCATTTAGACATTCTAAACTGCAAAATTAAAGAACGATCCTGGAATGTTTTGTTGAATTACAGCATCTAATAAATATTAAAACTAACTTCTGTCCATGTGTGATTTTTCCTCAAATACTTGAGATCTTAGTTTAACGAAGTCCATATTTACTTTACTGGACATTTCACCCTCTGGGAAAACCCAATCAAAGGAAACATTCTTTACTTGCTCTCAAAGCCATGCTTTACAGTTCACTGAAACAGTGAATCTTATCGTTTTCTTTCCATTTACTGTATTTACTGGAGTTTTGCATTTATTAGTAATTCACATTATAGCCTACTTTGATGCAGCTTTAATTTCTGTTGAAATGACACCAAAGAGCCAACTGCCTACTTGTTTAGTCCAATAGTCTACCTGGTCTTCTTTGCACAGACTAATGTTCAGTAGCAAATCTTTAAAAATTTTTCCTTTTCCACTTTGAACCTGTATTTTTAGCTTTAGTCTAACCCCTCTGGCCCATTTCACCACCTTGAGCCTTGTAATTCTTTCCCAAATGTAGAAAACACTCCACGATTTCATACTTAGCTCTTGATTTTTATCATGTCAGAGATCAGTTGCATTCCTACACTTGACTCATCAGTTTTGCTGATCTCTATCTGTAAACCTGAAGCCTCAGCTTTACTCCCACATTTTGGCTCGTTACTGTACATCTCCATTCAACTGTCACCTCAAATTCATTCTTTGAAACTAACTCTTATCACTGTCCTGGAAAATTGGTTTTTCATCCTAAATTCCTTATTTCTGTTAATGGCATAATTCTTTTCTTATCCATATGCCTGGACTCTTCAATTTTTCTTAGTTTTTCCATTTGGCTGATTCTTTCTTAAAAATTTTCATGTATTTTTTAGATGTATTCTTGGAGAAAGAGAAGCCGATGCAAGGAGCAGACTACAGTGTTCATCTATTGTACTATTCCTCATATGGGTTTTCTTGTTTCTGAGAACTGTCTTTAATATAGCTTATTCAGATGCCACCAATCTTTTCAGGGGCAATTTAACTCCCAACTATTATTACTAAGCATTCCCAGAAAATTTTAGTCAATGATATAAGCTCTTCCTCTTATCTAAAACACCTGTACTATACTTAGTATACATCTCAGACATCAATTATTACTATTTAACTTTTCCCATGTATAGTATATATACATAGTGATACCTCAGCTCACAAACTTAATTTATTGTGCAATTTTGGAAAAGATGGCTATGTTTGTATGGGAAAGATGGCTGTGGATTTGTCACCTAATGCAGAGTTTGCAAATGAAAGCAAAATTTTAACAAACACTTGTTTGTGAACTGAACTGTCTACAAACAAAAGTATTTACAGGCCAGGGATTTAGCGCAGTGGTTCTGGCGCCTGCTTTGCAAATGCAAGGACCTGTGTTCGATCCCTGGTACCAAAAAAATAAAACAAAACAAAACAAAAGCGTTTGCAAGCTGAGGTGTCATTATATAAAGTAGTAAATGAACTATTTGACACTCCAGCACAGATTCTACCCTTTTCAGATATTTTACTTTGTTTTAGTGAACAACAAGAGAGTAGAGCTTACTGTAGGGACACTTTTTCTTTCTTTCTTTTTTTTCTGTTTTGTTTGGGGGGGGCCATGTCTTGTTACATAGTTTAGAGTGGTCTTGAACTCACTATGTAGCCCTCGAACTCAAGGTAATCCTCCTGTCTCAGCCTCCCAAGTGCTGGGATTATAGGCATGTGCTACCATGCCTGGCTACTGGGTCACTTTTTAAAAAAACAAACCAAGTTTAGTCTATGGGATACTATTAAGAGATTATTTTGTAGTGATTCCACAAGTACATATAATAACAATCTCACATTCCAAATAAACAATGCTCTTCTTACGGTACAATTTGTTGTAATGTTATAATGTATAATTTTGGTTTAAAATCCATACACTCATAAAGCAGTTCTTGGACATAATCTAAATTCTGTATCACTAGAGTAGATATTCATCATATTAAGAGGAATCGGTTAGTGAAATATATTTTTTAACACCTAGTACATAGCTTCTTCCATATTATGTGATACGTGATTCACGAAAATAGGTCTCCACTGTAGGAAAGAGATATTTTCAGAAATTGATTTTTTTTTTTTTTATTTCTAGAACCAGGGATTGAGCCCTTGGCCAAGGCCTAGTAGGCAAACATTATACCACTGAGCTAAACCCTAGTCCAGATACAGCACTTGTTTTGTTTTGTTTTGTTTTTTTAAAACACTTTAGTATCATTTCTCGGTGAAATCCATTTTATCTGAATGTTATTGGTGGCTGTATACAGCATCTTTACAAAGCATTTCTCAGTATACCAGTCATTCTGAACTCAGTATATAAGTTCTTTCAAGTTGACCCTTGGTAGAGGATTCTGCCATCTTAGATCATCAGCCTTTCAATGTCTAAAGGTATCACAGGTGATACATCCATAATAAACTTCATAAAATACTCATAAGAGAAAGTGAGAACTATTTAAGTATAGGAGCTATAGATGAAAGGTGGCCTAGGATGTTTGCCAATAAGAAATTTAAGGGTGACTTTTACAAAGTTTCTTTTGAAATTTCTAAAAATTGTCCCAATACTCATCAAGTTTGAAAAAAAAAATCTTTTGTTTCTCTTTGTGTTTAGGCACTCCCATTTCCTAGGATAGCAGAATCTAAAATTCACTTGGGGAGGAAATCCTAAGAGTAAATTAGACATTCTTCTGTCTCCTTTGGACAGGAACATGGTTAAATTTACCTAAACTCAGTGAAGGGCATGATGTAATTTTACTGCAGAGTGGTTTTAGTACTTAAGAGAATAGGAAAATGATAAAAAGGGACACCTTAAGAACATCTGAAAATACAAATTTGATAAAATGGTGTAGAAAGAAATATTACATTAAAAATGGCATTGTGTGATAGATTTCTTTTCCTCACCTTTTTGGACCTCCAACAACGGCAGTACACAGCTTTATCTCCCAAATCCTCCATGTCAAAGGCATGTACTACTTTGGGGTTGTCTTTCTGGATGTGAAGGTTCACCATAGATTTACTACGATGATCTTTAACACAGAATCTTTTATAAGCTAGGTATCCAATTGCAGCTGTCCCAGCTGCGATGGTGACTACTGCAATCCATTCAACTACAACAGGGAAGGAAAAGAACAGTAATTACCAAAACCAAAATGCATACTAATAATCTAACACAAATGGTCAGGAAATATAGTTTTTGATTATTAAGCAGGCTAACAGTCAAAGATTTTTATGTTAATAAAAATGACCAGAACGCACTGCAGTAATAACAGGCCTTTGTTAAAACTTTCTCTTCGTCCCTAATTGTAGTTATATATTTTTATTGAGTGATAACAGCTAAATTAAGCTAGAGGAGGGAAACAAAGGTTATTTGCTCTTCTCTAGGAGAAGGAAAAACAGGCTTAATAATCTTTTAAAAAGTGTTCATTAGTAGTTTTTAAATAACAATGAGACTGCAAGTATTTATTGATTAACAGAAAAAGCAAAACCACTGAAAAATAAATATGTGTGCTACAAATGAGACAAAAAAATTAGGTGATTACGTTAACAAAATGATATCAAAGTTCACTTAAATAGTAAGGTCTGTTAGTGATTTCAAAATGTAACAACTTCATAAAATGCAACTAAAAACAGTATTGAAGGAAAAAAAGAGACACATAAAACAAAATAACTCTTTTCTCATTTTTTTTGTTGCATCGCTGGGGACAAAAATTACTAAAGACTAAACATTGCAAGAGTCTAGATATCAAAATCATTCAAAAGTGTTTTCTAAAATTTTAAAGTGGTAGTTAAAATAAAAATTCAGAATATATTCATTTCATATAAAGTATATTATTATTATTATTTGTTTGAGACAGGGTCTCACTATGTAGTACAGACTGCCCTGGAATTCACTGTGTAGCCCAGGCTCTTCTCAAACTTACAGCAATCCTCCTGCCTCAGCCTCCTGAAGTGCTGGGATTACAGGCATGCGCCACCACGCCCAGCTCATAGAAAATATTATTAATACACACACTGTCATTATTCTCACTTAATAAATTCTAAATTTCCATTATCCACAAGTGGATGAATACTTAATTCCCTACAAACTTCACTTTATTATTCTTTCTCATACTAATAACAATAATAGTGATAAGTTTGCTTGACTAACAGGCCATTTGTTTATTCTTTTAGTGTAGCTTTTCAAGGAATCTTTAGAAACCCAAGTGCTTAACAACTACGCCAGGTCCCAGCAATGACAGAGAGAAGAAAGTTCTGCATAATCTGGTTAACCTCGGCCTCAGAGGAGAGCTGTCTATCCCCAGCGTGGAGTGGGCTGCAGAAAGAAGTTGAACAGAGTCAGGATAAACAGACTGGACTACTGCCCAGCACTTCTTAAGTCAAATCTTCACAGAGCCTGAAATGAGTTCCCAGGCTATCAAATAAAGCCCTAGAGAGACAAGTATAAAAAACACATTCCATGGCCAAATAAAAATTCATAATATTTACCCATGTGGCTTATTGGCACCATTGAGTCAAAAATTCTTATTTTACTACTGTGATCAGTCACCATAACAAATACTGTCTTACATAAAATTGGAGCTCAATCGAAAAAATTAATAGGGGGAAAAATCATTATTCTCAAACTTAATTCCTTTTATCTTGGTCTTCTAGTTTATGTAATAATTTAATTTTTATCAACTGTTTCTAATTAGCATGCTCTGTGGGTTTTATTTTCAACTATAGTATTTTTCTTTAAAAAGTAATGTAGAAAAAAAAAGTAGTTCAGATTGCTTTGCTTCTCATACATTTCCATTTCTTTTTGCTATAACACAAAATAAACGTTAACATTTGACCTCAGGTACTATATGACTGAGAAAATAAGTCACTTGATAGGAACTTCAAACTTTTAGCCTCATGTGAACTTTTTTCCTGGAGACAGGATTTCTCTGTGCAGTACAGCCTAACCTTCACCATACTATGTAGTAGTCTAGGCTGTCCTCAAATGTGTGCCCTCCTGCCTCAGCCTCCAGAGTGCTGGAATTACAGGGGTACACCACCATGCCCTTCAAGGAAGTATGAATGTATGTATATATATCATTATTTATTTTTGCTTTATTTGAGACCAGGTCTCTCTGTGCAGTGCCCTTCAACTATGTAGCCCAGGCTGGCCTTGAACACATGGCAATCCTCCTGCCTCAGCCTACTGAGTGCTGGGAATATGGGGATGCACCACCATGCTTGGCTGGATGTTTTTAAAATACATATCTTGTATAGATTTTTCTTGAATTTTAGTGCAGCTTAGTTGTGGCAAGCAGGGGTTCAACTTTGCTGTGACTTTCAGCTTTATTTGTAATATTCTTTTTAGATGCATTATTTGTCATGGGACTTACTAGAGAAAATATTCTCTATGTAAGAAGCTATAGTAATTTACTTCTTAGCTAACAGCCACTTTATGTAATGTACCCGTTACAAAATTAACTAAAACACTGCTTTGCATAGTACATTCTCCATAATGTTTGCTGAATGTTGTCTTTAGTAAAAACTTAAATGAACCAGTATCTCAAAAAGATGAATACAATTCTCTATGCTGATCTTAGTTACACCGTACTTTTTTTTATAATATGAAGAACCTTACAGGAATTTCTATATGCAACTCATAATCTGTCAAAAGGAATTTTCCTAGTTGTTAAAACATTATTCTAGGGTCAGGGATTTAGCTCAGAGGTGCTGCCCCCTGCCTCACAAGTGCAAGAACCTGAGTTCGATCCTCAGTACCAAAAAAAAAAAGAAAGAAAAGAAACTCTATGTTTTTCCTCGTATTACAAGTGAATGCTTATGGTGACAAACTTTTACTTTCTCTGGATTTTTTGATGGTGGAAAAAAAATGACTAAACAACTGACACAGAAAAAAGGCAACACTACAGGAATGATTTAAAGAAATAGAGTAGACTCTTTTTCTTTCTCTCTCTCTCTCTCTCTCTCTCTCTCTTTCTTTCTTTCTTTCTATCTTTCTTTCTTTCTTTTTCTTTTTTTTGGTACCTGGGATCGAACTCGGGTCCTTGCACTTGCCAAGCAGGGTTCAGAACCACTGAGCTAGATCCCTGGCCCTGGAGTAGACTCTTTAAGAGTAGTTGCTCCCAGAAACTCAAAATAGATACCGTGAGACTCTAAGTTAATGATACAATACTATTTGTGCTAAAAATTAACTTTGTTGCTACGAATGAGTATTTTAGAATCACACAGCTAGAAAAGGTCCTCAGAAAATAATTTCCATTTTTTTCTCTTCCCAAATTCTAATTCTCTAATCTCATTAGGGACAAATGTAAGTTTCCAGAAGAAAAATGTTGCTATTTTATCTTTCATTACAGTGGCCTGAATCAGTCTTTTCTAGCAAAAATCTATATATGCAACTCTAGGGAAAAGGAAAAAGAAATTACTGAGATAGACAAAAACAATGACAGTCAAAAATCAACAAATGGGACAGAGAAAGAACTGCAAACCTGAGAAAGTAAACAAAATACACAACCCAATCAACATCCAATCATTGGTAGCTATATGCCTATTACAAATAGTCATATTCTTAGAGGCAAAAAGAAATTTTACTAAGATTAATTTTTTAATTGGCAACTTTCACGTATGGGATCAGAATGGGGACTCCCCAAAATCTTGAGCATTATTCCTGCTTTTCCTTTTCTATAGATCTTTCTCCACAGTTTTTCCTTTAATTAGATCAAACTCCACCCCATCTAATCCTGCTTAACAGTGCTATGTATACAAATACCAATAAAGATAAGAAACATAAAGGAAAAAAAGTTAACTCCCTCTCTTACTCATTCCTTGGCCCACTATTATAAAACCTTTAGTTTTCTCTCTGTTTAGGGACAGAGAAAACATGGACGTGGCCCCAAACTCCATTTCCTCTTATTTATGACCCATTCCTCAAAAGTTTCTTTACTCTGAGGATTATTTTGCTTTAACTACAAAGAAATCTAAATTTTTTCCTTTAGACCCTTTACTGCCCCAAACCGTCTTGTCTTACTAATCAACTGCCACAGAATCAGAATGTTCCTCTGGAAAGGGGGCTGGGGAGCCGTGTGGAAACCCTTGCCTCTTGGGGGTTTTGTACAACTAGTACACTGTGCTTGACAGTTTTTCTCAAGGCTTGGGATACAGGAGGCAATGAATGTTAGTTGAATAAAATGAAATAAAGGAGTGGAATACTTATTTGCGCTTGGAATTCCATCTGTCTACCCTATCACTGCACTGCTCTTAAACCAGATGATTTCTTTTTGCCCTCTTCTTGTTGTTAAAAATACATAAAACAAAACAAAAACAAGTCTTTAATATGGACTGTTTCACATACACACAGGGAATATGAAAATAAACCCTTATTTACCCTCACCTAATTCTGACAATTACCTACTGATGGCCAATCTTGTTTCACCTATAGCTCCAAATCCCACCCTATTGTTTTTCACCTACAGAGAGCTATTGCTTTTTTCTCAGTATGATCTATATATTCCTTCTCAGAAAATAGTTCCTTAAATGGTTACTTTAGATGATTAATGAACTTACTGAATCAGTACACTGACGTTAAATGAACTGGAAAATTATTCCTTAGTATCAATACACAAGGTTGTAAAACTCAGAATAAGAATTTGTGACATGAAGTTTGGGTTACATGTATTGTAATGATCAGAGTTTTGGATGGTAACAAAACACAAAGTGGATAGATAAATCTGTTTTGTAACTTGTGGGTAAAACCAACTATGGAAAAAGTGATTTGAGGAAAAGGCAGGTTAAGAAACCTTTCTCAAATATGCAGTTTGGGCACATTCCTGTAAATCAGGAGGCTGATGTGGCAAGGCTACTGGAACCCAGAAGTCTGAGAGCAGCCCAACCTGTGCAACATATGTATTACGCAGTAAGAGGACTCATCTTCCCTACCTCTCAAAAACAGAGAAAAAATAATCACCACCACCACCACCCAGTAAAGACATGAAGAAAAAATAAAAAAGTCCAGCATGGCAGCACATGCCTGTAATACCCAGCACCCTGGGAAGCTGAGGCAGAAGGATCCTTAATTCAATCCTAGCCTGGGCAATTTACCAATTTAGCAATCAAAACAAAACAAAAATTAAAAATGGCCGAGGATGTAGCTCAGTGCAAAAACCCTGAGTTCAATTCCTAGCACCAATTAAAAAAAAAGGAAAATAGCCGGGCACGGTGGCGCACGCCTGTAATCCCAGCACTCTGGAAGCTGAGGCAAGAGAATCGCTGTGAGTTCGAGACCAGCCTGAGCTACATAGTGAGTTCCAGGTCAGTCTCAACTACATAGTGAGACCCAGAAGCTGAGGCAAGAATCGCTGTGAGTTCGAGACCAGCCTGAGCTACATAGTGAGTTCCAGGTCAGTCTCAACTACATAGTGAGACCCTGTCTCAAAAAACTAAGAACAAAGAACCAAAAAAAGGAAAAAAAAATATATATTATATTAAAAAATATAAAAAATATATTAAAGATGAGGGTAACATATTAGTGACTTTTAGGCTAAAGAGAACTTGTATGAGGGTTAGAGACTTAAAAGTAACAAGTATTAGTGAGGCAAGAGTCAAAGGAAGCAGAAGAAAATGGTATCTGGAGGATATGGAATGAAAATAGCCTCAGAGTTCATCTCTTTCTTGCAAACAGCAAAGAAGGGGTTAAGGATGAGAACAGACTCAGTGAGTTGTAGGCACTAAGAAGCACAATGAATTCAGAAAGGTCACCTATTGGGCCTAAGGAAGAATCACAAGAGACTGGGGAAGTGGGCTTTGAAGGGCCATTTAGTGCTAGAAACTACCATGAACTAACTAATGGTCTCTTTAACCAAATCAGTGTGTAGAGCTACTACAGCGACACAGATCCTTGATAGGGTTTCAATACTAACCATTCATTCTCATTGCCTTTCCTGATCTGCAGTCCTGGCCTGATCTGTTTATTTTTATTTATAACTCATCCATTATTTTTTCCTGCCACAAAGAATTCTGCATGCACATGATTTTTACTCTTTATAGAGCACAGGGCCAGGGATTTAGCTCAGTGGTGCTGCCGCCTGCCTCACAAGCACAACTCCCAAATTCAATCCCCTGTACCAAAACAAAAAACAAACCAATAAAACAAAACAAAAAACCCAAAAAACAAACAAAAGAACACAGATAGTACTTAATATTGCCACACACCATTCTACACACTTTATAACTATGAATTCATTTAACTGAGCAGAGACACGATCATCTTCCCCTTAACTAAAAGATCTAAAGATCTAAATTGATTTTCAACAAATAGGATTAAAATGTTTAAAAACTGGTTTAAAAATTAAGAATAGAATGAAACTTTTGATTCTTTTGGAAAGTGTTCTACTCTTCCAACTAAATTCCATTAAGAAACAAACTTTTATAAGACTTAAACATTAAAAGGTAGATTCTACAGGCATTTTCTATTCCTACCTTGCCTACTGCTCTATTAGAGAAGGAAAGTGCTCCTCCTGTAGATTTAAGAAACCTTTGGGCCTCTCACCCTGCTCCTGGTAACAACCTTTATGCATTTAAGTCAAATAAAAAGTAGTTATTCCACATAAAGTTGAGCACTCTTAGTTAATAACATGCTTAATGGATATTCTACCCCATGGAAAATCATAAACTAACAGGAAAGTCACCTCTGAACTCCCCTATTGTGGAATTTAAAAAACAAACCAAAACAAAAACTTGTATCAACTTTAGGAAAGATGAGCCAGCAAACAGCAATAAGAAGTCCTAAGGTTCACCTACTTCGGATTTTGACTGTGCTACCTGAGTCGGTGACCATTTACACAAAATAGTACCGTATTTTAATAAAAAAAAACATATTCTGAAGTCTTTTGGCACAATTAATACATGTAGTCTTCCTATAAAATTTAAAACATCAGCAGCACAATTCACATGACCATTTTGTTTTACTCCATAATCTTATTTCCCCCCAAAGTTTAAATATCACAAAAATCACTTCCTATTTTAAATGCATCCCATGGCTCCATTTAAAGGATCCTCAAGATGAGTATCGGTTTAAATAATTTTTGCAAATAATCACCATTTCACTTTTTTATCATTACTAACTTGGAAATGCCATTGATTTCTTCTCTGTCAAGTAAATTTTGTTAATAGAAGGAGAACTCTCCAGTTTAGGGAATTTGTCTTACAAAATTAAGGCTCAAATTACACTATTCATCAAACCTGGAGTACAGATAGATGTTCAATACTACTGACTGAATCAGCTGGGGCTAATTTAAATGAACTTCTGGACAGTTTCTTTACCTTCACTTAAGAACAGTTAAAGGTAACCAAACCTGGGGGAGTGGTGTTTTATACCTAGGCTGAGAGAGCACATATACCACATAGCTTGTAGATGGTATTATCAATTGTAACACCATTAAGAACTGTGACAAACTGAAACTTCACACTAAACACATTTTCTAGATTCTCCTAATTGAACCTTCCGCTAAGTACTGCTTTTTTCCAAATGATAGGTACTAGGGAAGACCGAGAAAGCTTAAGGATCAAGAAATTTGATTTTTAACTGTCTTAGATTACTGCCATCAAACGCCAGATATCAGGAAGATTAAAAAATAAAAAAAAAACCTGGGAAAACTGAAGACCTCAGTTTGGGGTTCTTCACTTCAAAAAGAAAGAAAGAAAAAAAAAACCACTTAGATGTGATTAGTCATGCACTGTTCAGGACTCCAGAAAAATGACTTTCTGGTTCCACGTTGATTTCAACATGAGGCAGAACTTTTTTTGGGGGGGGCTCATCTTTCATATTTTCTCCAGGTCCTGCGGCTTAAAGACGCTGAAGCGTTTCGGGGGAGAAGGAGAACCAGCAGCAGGATCATTATTAGGTCTCCGGGTCTGGCTAGTCGGAGAAACCGCGGACCAGGGCTGGACAGAAGTCTGCATGGCCTCAGGCCTCTTACAGCCGGTGACACCCTCCGTCCACTCCCAGACCTCGCCCCCTCTCCCGTCCAGCCCAAAGCTCGCAAGCTTGCCCTTCGGCACCTCAAGGTCACAGGACCCGAGGCGCAGCGTAGGACAGCGGTAACAGCCTAGAGGAGCTGCGGACGTTGCAACCGGTGCGCAGGCCGCCAGCCTCGAGAGTTTCCAGGCCCCACCTCACCTCGCACGCTGGAATTGGAAGTCAGACCCATGGCGCCGTCGCTCGGAAGGCGTGTGCACAGGGCACCGAGCACAAATGGCCTCGCGCAGACGGCGTGAGTCAAGGTACCAAAAGCGTCCTAAAGGGCACCGACTCCGGATTGCTACTGCGCAAGCGCCGCGGCGGGCTGGAAGCACGTTTGTGCAATCCACCCCGGTAAACACTGAGCATGCGCAGAGCTGTACCCGCGGCCGTAGCGAAGTTAGTCCGGATTTTGACAGCCGCAGGAGGCGGGGGAGCAGGAAGAATTACCGGCGAGACTGAGTCTGCGCAACCCCGAGGGGCGGGGCTCTGGGAACCGGGCGTGCTGGCCAGATTTTCCATTTCTTCCAGGTGTGTGGCTTTCTGCTGGTAGAAGGCAGGTGTCAGCAGGACACTCTGCTTAACCAGATTTCTAAGACAGCGCCTAAAATCTTCTTGCTCATTCTCGTCTAATTCTACCCAAGGCCAGATTCAGTTTTCACATGTTACTGGCAAAGCACAGAGAAATCAAGCGGACTCCCATCCCCAACCTCTGCAGCCCTTGGTGTGTACCCATTCTTTCTTCTGCCTTTGCTTAGGCACCCACCTTGGAACCTGCGCTGTCGAGGTCGAGAGAGGGCTGCAAGGAGGGAGACTGGCTCATTCCTTCCAACAAGACCCTCGCTCCAAAAATAGACAAAAATATCAGGATTATTTTCTATCTTCCAACAGGGCTCCCCCGAAATTAGTGTGGGTTCTTTTTTTTTTAGTAAGCGCAATTTGGAGACACCATTTGGGGATGGGGCTATCTTAAAGCATGTTTCGGAGCTGCTGTTTCTGTGCGGGGCAGGGTGCTGACTGCAGAAGGGGCGGCCTCTGCGCTCCCCTCTGCTCCTTCGCCCACCCCGAGCTCTCCCAGTACCTGCGAGCGCCTCACCCCCGGGAGCCCGAGGCGCCTGCGAGCGCGCCC